CACCAGCTGACATTCTCTTGCTGACGGAGTCCGCATCATGCCCTCTCTGCCTGACCAGGTGGGGCAGGTTGATGTGATGGGGGTGAGATGGTCCCTCGGGCAACTTGGACCCATGCCATATACGGCTTTAAAGATAATAACCAACACTTTGAATTGGGCCTGGAAGCAGACTGGGACCCAATGCAGCTCACGCAGTAAAGGATATGTGCTGTTCCTGGGACACTCAAGATTGTCCACGCAGCCACATTTTGAACCAGCTGTAGCTTCTGGATGCTCTTCAAGGGTAGCCCTATGTAGAGCTACAATGCACTGGACACCTTCGTTTGTGTCAAAAGCAGAGTGCAAATCTGTATGAAGATGAACAATTTTATTCTTGAAGTGCCTTGCAAATTTGTCACAGCAAGCTTCCAAGAACTTCAATATGGGATTATCTGGGGACAAGAAGCCACTCTTAACCATACTAAAGAGTCTGCTGGACGGCTACTCGAGAATGCAATGGAGGCTGTAAATTAAGTACTCCTTGCAGCCCTCCCTGTCATGCAGTAGGCATGATTATGTGCTCTCATGTGTGTTTGGTTAACTTGACAGTGGCTTTTACTAATTCTTTTTGCTAAATGAAATGTAAGTCACGCTGTTATTCTATGGATAACACTGTGACATTGCTTTCCTCCTTGTACTTATTTTTTATCTTTAAACTTATGACCTTTCCAGTTAGGTATAAAGCATTTAGAAGTAGTAATTCAGATTCTCCAAAGCTATCTTGAAATTGCTGAAGGAACTTTTGTTGCAGGTGCTTATTAAAAAGTGATATCCTTTACTAGACATGCCCACTGATAAACACTCCAAACTTAAAGGCAGCTGTCTCAGTTATATGAGGTTCCTGAAATTCAGTCAAATTCTTTTTCTTCCTTTAAACTCCTTCTTTATTCTTCCTAACAGCCTTTAGATAGCACCTCTCCTGCATGTGCTTAACTACTAGAAGTACTAATGTTAGTAATTTTGTTGACTTGATTTATGTCCTTCTTCCCCAATTCACTAGTTAAGTTGACATGAATTCAGATCAGGAATGAGAAGAGAAATAGAGAAGATGTCTAATGGAACTTTTTTAATCCTCATGTTTTTAAAATTAGTATTGACTTCGGACTGTTTAGTGTTCCACAGCAGTTTTTCGCTGGTTGGTCTGGATCCACTGCTGAATCTATAGCAAATGGATAATTTTTTTTTCATTAAACATTTCCCCTCATAGAATCAGATTGTGTCTTTTTCATTAATAATTGTTCTGTGCTCTGCTTCTGAACTGAATGCCATTGATTTGCCTCAGTGATTTGCCTCAGTGATTTTCAGCCCTCTCAAATAAAAGTTGGAGAAGACTTTCTAGAAGACTGTATTCTGAATTAGCTCTCTCCAGTCTGGTGCCTTCTAGCACTGATATTCTGGATGTTCCAGTATATAGGAAAGGGTGAGGTAGGAAAGCTTTTGCTGTTCACTCAGCACAGGTACATTGTTTTCATTTTTGTGCTTCAGAGTTTAGAGCTATTTTTCTTAGAACAAATTCAGAAAAATATGTTTTTGTTTACAGCATGAAACATTTATTTCATAGTAATCAATTCAGCTGTGAAACTTTAAAACTATTTCTAATAAGTAAAACATTGACTGATTTGTCTGACAGCTTTGTTCTTTAAGTATAGTTGAAAATTTTTCTGGTTGTAGGAAGGTTACAAAATGCCTTTATTTCTCTAATGTACATGAATTACACACATGATTCTGAGAACATCCTGAATGACCATGATGTAGCCCATATATATTAACCCCTAGACATCTTTCTTTTTTACTGATATCATTAGCAAGGAAAGACTATTTCAGTATCTCTTTACAGCACTAGGTATAGAAATTCTTTACCAGAATGTCAAATTGATCTGACTACTAGGCAAAGCATGCCTTAAGTATACGTTTAATGGTTTTTTATCCTTTGTAGAACCACAATCTGTCATAAAAGGTATTTCAGTGTTACACAAAGTCAACTTTAAAATGTGTAATAATACGTTCTACAAATACATTCCATAATTCAGTTTTTCAGTTGATTGCATATTACACGTTAAGAAACTTTCTGGACAGCATCTTAGTTTTCTTTATTTTAAAATCCGAGTAACACCTGTAATTAAGGCAGAGAACTGATCCTTACAAGCTAGGTAGCCTTCCATTTATTGATCTGGCTTATACTGTCAGGGGAGAAGCAGTCAACTGCTGAGTTGCTTTGTCACTGACATAAGCTGAGAGGATTTTTTTTCTCCTATACTGTTTATATACCAGTCTATAGACTTGCTGGCTGGTTGAATTTTAAAGAGTGCGGAGGTTTAAAGACTTGTCCCCTGAGGGATGATCCTGCCAGTTGGGAAGCGAGCTGAGGCCATATTTTGCAGAAGTGTGTGTGTGTGTGTGTGCGCGCGCACATACATGGATGGGGGAGGGATGGAAAGGAAAGTATTGAGTTCGTTTGCCCCTTAGTGTTGCAGAAAGGACTGATATATTTATTACAGTGAAATACAATAATATCTGTTTTTCCTCTTTTCCATGTGTTCTCATTTTTGGTGGAAGAGCAGAAATGTAGCAGGAATGTTACAAATGCCTGCAAATACAGTTCCCTAGAGATACAATTTTATGTGCTTACTAATCAATATTGTGAAGGAATATAGTTTGTGGTGGTTTGTTAAAGACAAACTTGTATTTATTACTGTGAAAGTCTGGAGTCTATAATACTAACATTGCCTGCTAGAAGGGAGGGGAAAATGCAGAATTCTCTACTGCAATAATCTAAATAAATTGAGTATCTTTTAAATATTATATTTATTACTTTGTCTTGTTTTCATGAGATTAGCATTAATTTGCCATGTCTGTCTAAGTAAATTGTGGGTATGTTTAACATCCCAATCTGATTTTAGTGATGATTCATAAAAGAGTGAATGGCAATCTTCCCTGAAAATTTAGTATATTGGAAGGTCCAAATAGTTATAGCATTGTCTCCCTGCACTTTCTCTTGTTTCCTTTTCTTTCTAGAGTGATTTTACAAATTTTTTGTATCTTTCACTGTGAGTTTATGCTGCATTTTTATCAGTGCAAGCTTTACATCTGATTTAGAGGCTGAAACCCAAGTTGGAAGGTTAGCCAAACATAGCTATGAAAGAATCTGCTCACAACAGATGTAACATGAAATTATAGCTATATAATAGTGGAAATTAAATTTTCCCAAGAATAACAGATTACGGCAATTAATGCAATGTATTTGAAATCCAGTAATAAGAAATGTATATTTTGCCTGATGTTGTTAATCAGAACCTAAGAACTAAGGACACAGGACATATGCCTGTGGTAGTGATTTTTTTCCAGCTATATTAGGACTCATAATACATGGGATGCATGCCAAGTTGTCTTACAGTCCTTTCTTCTATTGAAATTGGAAAACTCTTGATCAGGGTTTATAATTAAACTGCATCCAGTAAGAAAACAATGATTTGTTGAAACATTTCTGCCATACTGCATGGATTTGTGTTTCTCTAATATAACCGCCCATTTTCCTCCAAATTCCTCCCACTCACCCCCCTTATGAAGTAATCTGAATTTTATATAAGTAAGTGCAAGAAAATACAGGCATTCTTCTTTTCCTGTATGTTTTTCTCCCAGCTGATCTTTTCATTTTTCCTTCTTGTAAGGGATGAAGCTGGCAAGGTGGGAATCTCTGATTCTCCTGCTTGAGGAAGCCATTTTGTAAACAAGACAAGACAGATGGCAGAAACCTTCAAGGCGGGAAAGGAGCAGCTAACAGCCATTGATTCAGAAGGTGGGAGGAAGGGGCCCAGCATTTAAACCTGGCAAATAACATTTACATGGAGGGCAGGATTCTGGGGTGCTGTTAGATGGATAACTCCTTCATATATATGGCTTCCTAATTATTTGCAGTAAATTTACTTACTTAGCCTTCTTGTGTCTGCTTGGAAATGCAAAGAGAGCATAACTGCCATATCTGATTCGAAGTTCTGACAATCCTCTCTATTAAAGCTCAGATTGTACATTTTCAAGCAGGAATCTTCCTTCATTACAACATTAATCTTTTCAGTGCAGTTTACCTTAATGGCCCTAAAAACCACTCAATTCTGGGTGAATTTCTATAGACTAGAGCTGTAAATAAGGGAAAGGTGGCAATCCTATTTCTTATTTTGTCATACTGGCATTGTACACTTGGGACTTATAATTGCTTCTTTTGTTCTACTATTTTTCTTTGCTTTATAATAATTTTCAAATCAGTATATACCATTCGTATAGTTACAAATGTGTCACTGAACAGCATGTCAGACCCAAAAGGAAGAAATAAGTGTATAATTTCCATAAAATTACAGGTATACTATCTTTATTTTCTTTTTAACTGGTGGAAAATTTTGAACCTTGTGCTACTGTCCTAAAGGGTTAACTCTCCAATTTTCTGCTTATAACAAATTAAAAGTTCCAGCTTTTTAAAACATTTGCTTATAAAATGCATACAGAGTTGTTTAGCTCTCAATAAATTCAGTTTGCTGTCAACTTAGTTCCCCTTTCTCTGCTTGCATTTTAATTGAAACAACATTTGTATTTTTGAGCCAGGATCTGTCAGAAGTCCCTGTGGCTAGTCTGTAGTACAAGTAGCAGCAGACGTGGCCTACCCATATGGTACGGTGCTTCTTGTAAATTCCATATGGCCTTGTTGAAGGGAATCCCAGCAGGGATGTGAAGGGTGTTAATACCCTTCAGGCCAGGCCTTTCCCTCCTGGGGTTTCTATGGTATTGTCTTTGCAATCTGCCAAAGCACAAACTTAATTCCTTTTTAATAATCAATTATTTTAGTCCAGGAACATGCACTATAGGTCCCTTCTCCCACTAAATATTGCTTGATTTTTTTCTGTTTAAAAAAAATTGCAGGCGTATTCAGGTATTGTTGAATACATATAACATTTTTTTTTCTGTATTTACAGGCAATCCTCCAGAGTATGCCTAAATTCTGCTTTCCTTTTGACATTACGAGGTATGTCTTACCACAGCTTTTCAATAAGTGAAGTTGATGCATTGAAAACAATTTGCATTGCAAAATGTTGATTTTTATAGGAAGCTAGTGAATGGATTGACTCACTGTATTAAAAACAGTAAGAAGCAAATTTTTTTCTGAACTGTAACTTTTAGGTTCTATCCTTGGCAATAGGCAATATGTTCACAGTATGCTTTTAGGCTTTTAATGGATAACTATAAATATTTAGCATGCATTTCTTATTAATATAAAGTTGATAAGACATTAGTTATAACTACACTTTTACTGCCAATCTAACAGGAATAACAACATTGGCTTAAAACAGATGCAGTTTTTTTCCCTTCTAAAAGTCATTTTATAATTACTGTTGAGTATAAAATCTCTTAATACTTTTTTTTAGGAAGGAATGAAAATGTTCAGTTATATTTTGGCAAATTCTTTCAAGCCTTTCTCATGCTTAGGCATGGTTGCATTGCAGTTGTTAAAAAAAAACCCAAATACACAACTTCTGAGCTTCCAGCTGAAATATCTCTTGAAGATTGTACAGATGTGTTTTGAGGATTGTATTTTAATTTTAAAATTCCCTTTATTGTGTGCTTTGTATGATAGGACTGTAACATTTACTCACATTGACATATTGGTAGAGCAAACATGTTTTTTCAGCTTATTGAGCAGCAGATTTTAAAAGAAAATCATTCAGTTTTGTTTTTTTTTTAATGTGGGTGACAAATGCCATCAGAAGAGGCATTGCTCCTCATTCCATCATAGGAAGGATGCTCCTTCTAAGATAATGGCTGTTGTGATACCAGCTTAGCAGAATTGTTGTTCTATGTGGAACTCTGTACAGGCTTAATTAAATACTTAATTATAAGTTACCTGATTAGTCATTGAAGGTTTCTTTAACCAGTACAATTCAATGAACAGAATAGTTTGCAATTGTTTAATCCAGTTGGAGGGCACATGTCAGAAGAACTAAAAAATTCCAAGCACACCTACTGAACTTCACATCCAGACAGAGATTTGAATCTGAAAACCTCTCATATACAAAACATTCTCTCAACTCTAGGACATTGTTCTATCCCATATGATATAATGTAATTATGTTTTTTTTTCCCCCAACATAAGATTTTTTTTTTAAACTCAAGAAACATTTGGGGGCATTTTTTTTAATGATTCCATAGAGAGTCAGCCAATTGTTATAATGAGTTACTTGTTTTTCATCAGTTTCCAAATACTAATTGTTCTATTTTTTTTTAATATATTGAAATGGATATAGGTTGAAAACTCAAATAGCCAAGTATAATTAAAATTAATGGGAGTTGATATGAGCTTTCAAAGCTAATGAAAATTAAATTGGTTAGTATTATTTATGTTAAGGTTGATACATGAAAAATTGGGAAATAAGGAAGAGAAAAGGAACTCCAAATCCTATTTGTGACTGTGTGATCAAAGCTCCACCCCTTTTTCACTGTGTGTTTTGCACCCTACACATAACATAAAATGCTGGAAGCTCAATATGAATCAAGGAATATAGAAACTGAAATGTGCAGAAAGGTAGGCCTAGACAAATCCAGATGATTACCATGAGTAAAAACTGTAGAGCAGTATTTTCAAACTTGGCTCCTGAGATTTCTGGGAGTTAACATCCCAGCAAACCTGAAGGATACCATTTGAAAAAGACTTCCATATAAGTTTATGGTACCATAAATACCAGAGATCTTTATTATTCCAGCTTTCATAAACCACGTCATTGGATACAATTACAGTACTTTAATCTGATGAATACTTCAGTCATTTGAAGGTGGGCTCTAGGTCTTGAGAACTTGTGCAGCAATAAATTCTTTAATGTTTAAGGTGCTATGAGACATCTACCCAGTCAAAATTAATCAAAGAATTGTGATTTTCTGTTACTTGAAAGAAAGTCTCAGAATCACACACTCTTTCCCTCCTCTTATACTCACTTTTAATTTTGAATATATCACAGAACCCCATCATAACAATGTTGAGGAAATGAATGAATTACGAACTGAGAAACAGCAACTATGAGACTGTAATTTCAGAGTCTGTCTTTTTCTAAAAAGTTAGTTTCATCAAATCAAAATTCTTCTAATGGGGAACTATAGTAGATTTAAAACTTTGTGAAACACAGTTGTGTTTGACCATGAAGCCAGCCAGTCTTTTGTCTAATAGTAGTTTTTTTTTTCATTATGTATATGTTGGACATCTTTGTTGTTTTTCCTGAAACAATTGCTCCTTTAGTGTTTATCTGAAAATAGACATGGATTGGAATTGTTCACTGGTCTGTAGATCTTTACATATGTGGTATGCAGTCTATCTTATCCACTGAGTTTAGGGGAACTTCCTTAAAAGTAAAAAAAAAGTAAAAAATTCTATAGTTTAATGTAGTTATTTGATTAGATAACGTTTTTGGTAAAGCATTAAAACCTACATATTACTAAATCTATGAGTGACGGAAACTCGGAACAATGAAGCACTTAAGGCTCTCTTAGTGCCATCCAGTGGTTAGGAATTAATGAAATATCAGTGTAATTACTTGAACTGGTAGAATAAGATAATCCAGTTGTAGATATTTTTATGAGGATAAGTGCAAAGCAAGTTTTTTAAAGAAATCCGGCAAGTATATTTACAAGTACAAACAAGTATAGGCATTATATATGTTAATCAACCACATTGTCTTTTGAACACTGAAAAATTAATAATTATACTATGGAACAGTTGCTCCAGGATATTCTCAATTATACACTATGGATACATGATGAATAAAACGGCAATATGTGAGTGGGCAATTTACCTTAAAGCCTACTTAAGCTAGGTAGAAGTGTTTACCTCAGAGTGAGGTATATTAAATGTAGTAATTACTTGTAGACATAGAGTAGGCTTTTGTTTCAAAAGATACAAAAGTTAGAGGAAAAAGGCTAAAAAAATATTGAATTTTAGCAACAGAATGAGGCAAGGAAGAAAAGGCCATGGAGAGGTTATTCTTTGTGTATTTTACAAATAGCATAACTTTCTTTTTCCTCTACAACTCATTACTAATGTATAGCTTATACAGCTTATGATAGAGAACAGTGATAGAAATTGTTGAGGTTTCTGAAACTTTAAGCTTTAAAAAATGCTTTATACTTGAAGTGAGAGCTTTTAAAAGAAAATAAAAGGCCCAATGATATAGCCCTTGATAAGGAAGTCCTCAAGGACTTTGGCAATTTCTTATTGTTAAATTTAAACACCACATTTACTTTTTTGCTACTTATTCTGGAATATGTATGATATATACAGTAAAAATAAATATTAATGTTAACAGTTTCAAAAAATTATTCAACTCCATATGCACATAGATTTGTATATATTCATGAACAAGGCTAGAAACAGTTTCAAAGGATCTTTTAATAAGTTAAATGTGACCATAATACAATGATGAATCATTGCATAATGGCTATTTCTGTTTCCTTACCTGGAGTATATTAGCTTAAACTGATATTCAGATTTCACAGTCAAGAAAAAACTACTAGCTCAACAGTTGTGGTTAAAAGTGTTGGAGAATAATTGAGTCAAGTATTAAAGTGCAAAAGATTTAAAAAGCTTATTGAAACATAATCAACCCTCCAAAATGGGATAAGTTATCAGTTTATGAAGGAGAATAAAGGAACAAATTAAAATAGTGCTAAGTGGAACAGAGGATCTTAGGGTCACTTGTGAGCTAAAGCAATTTATAGAGATTTTATGTAAAGCAAGAAGTAGACTAAGAAAAGACAACTGACTTGAGAGTTTGTACAAAGATTTCAAAGAAATTAATTCTGTGCTTAATTAAAGATTTCAAAGAAATTAACCCTACCTTTTCTTTGTCAAGAGAAAGGAAGCAAAGGATATGCCCTTAACAGTGAAAATAAATCTTTTACTGCTTAGAAATATGTAGGTCACCAGCTACAAACAAGAGAAGTTGTTCTGAACTGTCTTATAGTTCTAAACTTCGTGGCCTGTTAAGAGGTGGGATCAATTTATGATTGGGTTATTTTTTTCTCTCTGGAATTAAGTGAAAAGCTTCATTTGAGCATTTGCTGATAGGATGGGGACAAAAACTATATTATCTTTTGAGGACATTTTCATTTGTTAAGTTAGTGGAGGAATGTTTGGCAGAATTATGCAAGCAATAATAAAGCATTTTGTTCCTAGCAATTCAGCCGTTTTGTTCCTAGAAATTCCATCACTTCTGTCATTTTTTTAGACAAAAAAGAATCTCAAAGCCAAGATTTTGGAAAATATTTAAGCAAATGTGAGACACTAAAAAACAGATTAAAAAAAAAAACCACATGAAAACTCATTTGTAATAGTATGAGTTAGTTACAATCTCAGAGTTGTATTTATTAGACAAATATGATTTGACATTCATCTATACATATTGACAATCATACTTAGATTTATTAATATTCACCAAAATTAGGACACTGCAGATAGGATTTATAATTTCCATCACAGCTAATCAGATACTTTTGGAACAGTTGCCTCCTTTACTTGAGAAATGTTTATGACATTTTCATCATCTGGACCCATGGAAAAGAATCTCTCAATGAATTTCATCATGACCTCAACTTCTACCCTACCATCAATCTATCTACAGAATGAATGCACTTCTTTGATGTCATGGTAAAGCTATACTACGGACACATAAACACCATGTTATACAGGAAACTTATAAATCATCATGCGTTCTATGTGCTTCCAGCTTCCATCCAAATCTACCACCAAATGTAGCATTTATAGCCAGGCTTTATGCTACAGCCACATTTGTTCTGACCCATTTGACAGAGATGCTCAACCGATATCAGGCGTTCATGATGCCAAATTATTTACCCAATGAGAACAATAGACAAATCAAACCTTCCCCTTTCCCCCATCTCAGATTACATCCTACATCAATGTAGCCACTCCATTACATCTGATGAAATGAGCAGTAGGTCTTGGAAAGCTATGCCTTTTAATCT